TGTCAAACGAGCAACCGCAACGCTGCAATTATCAGAACATATAGCGACGGAGTGGCGAGAGAGGAAGGTCCAGCCACGCTTTTGGGATTTGGGCCACCTCTGTCCACGTGCTTGACACATGATTTCTGCTTGCTCTCACTCAGACACAAGGCGTAATCCATCACGTGAAAAACATACTGCTGTTCCACCACTCCATGAAACAAATACGCTCCAGGCCCGTCCGCGAATACCCCTGTAGATGTAATAGATAATTGATTAAAAAAGCCCTAGAAACTTAAAGGGACAGAAGTGCCAAAGCTCGAGTAAATAGACGGTTTGTTGGTGCGCTAAATTCTCTACCCACGAGAAAAAACCACCTCACTAAACAAGGAGCAATATTCGAGACACTTCAGGCATCTGTGGAGTCATTTTATCGGTATGGAATGTTTTCGTCGAATATGAGATTTGTCTCTCATGACTGAAGAATATGGCGCAAAAAAAGATTTTTTATCCTGGCATTTTTGGGTGATTGTACTAATGCTCATGAGGCAGGGTTAGTAATAAAAGACCTAATTCTCACCAACATCCTCAGAACCGTGACTTTCATATTCCAATACGACTGTCGCTTGTTGAAGGAAGTCTTCAGCTGTCGTGTTCACTGTGCGCAGGTCTGGACGAGATCCGTTCAGTCCACCGGGGCCGTCCGCATACCCAAGTGTGGTGTAGGTCTTGCCAAACTCNTTTTGTTGCTTTTTGACTAGTTTTTGCGCTTAGAGACAGGAAGAATTTTATACTGTTAAGTGAAAAACGCACAATTCTGTTATTTTGACAAATTTTCAACACACAAATGATATTCTTTTCAAAATCTCAGCCTCGAGTTTGATCTTAAAACATTCTTAAAATTTTGCAAATTTTAGCCTCGATATTCTTATAAAACATATTCTTATAAAAAAAAAGAAGATAGATTGATAGATAGATAGATAGATAGATAGATTTTTGTTATAGATTATAGATTTTATTATAGATTTTTAAAGAGTGTAGTAATTTTATTTACCGATATCTGGGCACTTGGATCCACCACCTGAGGGTTTGACATCCACATCGCTTTCCCAGTCACGGTCTACTGAGTGCGCGTACGAGCTGGCGGGAGTTGCGTGGGTGATTCGCGTGGTGGTAACGATTCCGGTTGACATTCCAGCTCTCTCAGCAAGCGTGAGGATTGAAACAACTTTGCTTTTATCAGTCATCGAGGCGCAGTTACCTTTCTCTACTGTAGAGTCTAGACCGAGTACACCTTAGATAAACAAGAGAAGAAGAAGAAGGATAAGAGACTTAATCTCCCACATATCCTATATTTCTCAAGGTAATCCCACTTAAGGTGGCGNGTCAACAAAACAGGAAGATTAAAAAGAGAAATGAGATCGTGGCGCAATGAAAGCTACACCCTTTTCTTGTCATAAGAATACTGTTAATCCGGCCGAGGCTGAATATTCATGTTTTCCTACCGATTTGGGGCTGAAAATATTCTTGTGAATATTCTTAGATTATAGCGTATGACATTTCTGTTTTCGAATGTATTTGGTGCTAACGCATTAAAGCCTGATGTGACGCACATAACTTCTTGCAGAAATGTTATTACCACTGAACATACGGCTGGAGCTACTTTTGTTGCTTTTTGACTACTTTTTGCGTTTAGAGAAAAGTAGAATTTTACACTGTTTAGTTAAAAACGTAAAATTCTATTGTACAGTATTTACAAATTTTCAAAACACAAATTATATTCTTTTCAAAATCTCAGCCTCGAGTTTATTCTTAAAATTGTCTTAAAATTTCGCAAATAATTCTTATATAAAAAAGAAAGAGTGTAGTAATTTTATTTACCGATATCCAGGCAATTGGATCCACCACCTGAGGGTTTGACATCCACATCGCTTTCCCAGTTACGGTCTACTGAGTGCGCGTACGAGCTGGCGGGAGTAGCGTGGGTGATTCGCGTGGTGGTCACGATTCCGGTTGACATTCCAGCTCTCTCAGCAAGCGTGAGGATTGAAACAACTTTGCTTTTATCGGTCATTGAGGCGCAGTTACCTTTCTCTACCGTAGAGTCTAGACCGAGTACACCTTAGATAAACAAGAGAAGAGGAAGAAGGATAAGAGACTTAATCTCCCACATATCCTTTATTTCTCAAGGTAATCCGACTTAAGGTGGCTCAAAACAGTTTCCAGCAGTTACATTTTGATGGATCATTATAACCACTCTTTATCACTTGATGCTACAATCATGGTATCAAAAGACTGCCCAATCTTTGGTGAACACGTTGTTATCATTTTCGTGGCACAATAGGTTGCCATAGCAACAGTATGACTTGCTGAAAACACCTTTAATTACAGCTTTAGGGGCTTATAATTAAAAAACGGAATGGTGATTTTTTTTGATAAGCATGATATGACGCATCTGTTGGCAAAGATTGAAAAAATTCTGCACATAGGGTTCAGAGCCACCTTAAATGTTCATTAAACTTTAAGGTGGCTCTGAACCCTATGTACGGAATTAATCAGTCAGTCAGTCACTCAGCCAGCCAGTCACTCACTCAGCCAGCCAGCCAGCCGCCAGCCAGTCAGTCAGCCAGTTAGTCAGCCAGTCATTTGGTAAATAAAGCAAGGAGGCAATCAAACTGTGACTTTCCAGGAGCGAAGCCACGTGTAGATTAGGGCTTAACAGGAGCTTGAACCACTCGAACGCACATTGTAATTCAAAGAAACCAGGTCACAGTAAAATCAATAGTTAGCCTTTATTGGAAGGAGCGATGAATTAACAATATAGAAATCAGGATAACAAAATAGAGATGAACTTGTGATGTGAAGTCGTAGTAACGGTTGTGAT